CGTCATTGTTGTTTGGCGGGTCCGGGCTGGGGATTTGAACCCGCCACCTTAGGTGTACGTGGCTGGCGCCTTAGCCGGTTGAGCTATAGGCGCCGAGCCACGAGACCCTATTTCTACAAAAAATAGGAAAATCAAGCAAGCATGGTGCTTGATGCCTATAGTCCTACCTACTCGGGAGATTGAGGAAGGAAGATCACTTGAACATGGGAATTGGAGGTTGCTGTGAGCTAAGATGATGCCACTGGACTCTAGCCAGGATGGCAAAGTGAAACCCTGTCTCAAAAAAGAAAAGTCCTTGAATAGCATTTATTAAGCCTTTACTGTATACTAGGCCTTTGCAATGCAGTTTCCATATACTACATCCTTTAATCCTCTTGCCCTTTCCTATGAGGTCCCCATTTTACACATGAGGAGACTGAAGCCCAGATAGCCAGAGTGCTCTGTCCAGGGTTGCACATCCAGATCAAAGTGCCTAGGGCTGGGGCTTGAACCCAGGTCTCTCTTAGCCATGACACTGCATTGTTTCCTAGGGCATTGCATATCTGTTGGCCTTCCTCAATCCCAGCATGCCCTTAGCCTTTCACGTGAGTGATCCTTTCCTGCCATCATCAGTTGCACCTGGGGTGGGAGGGGTTCCTCATTGAATGTGAAAGCTCATGTGAAGCACTGGGTGCCCAGTAGGTGCTCGGTATATATCGTGGTTATTTGAACCAGACAGAGCTGTGGCTGCTGTTTTTGTGAGTTTCCCTTCCCTCCAGTAGCAGAGGGCAATGCTTATTTCAATAGGATGAACTGGTAGTGGTGGGATCCCTGGCAGCCATTGCTCAAAGGCAGTTTGAAGATTTTCCTCCCTGTCTTCGTCCAGGGTCTGGGGGGCCCAGTAGCCAGTGAGTGACCCCAGCTTGCTCGAGCCCTTGTTTCCCTGTAGCTGAAGGAGGACCAGCAGAGGGCGCTCCTGAGGCGGGAGTTTGAGCTGCAGAGCCTGAGCCTTCAGCGGAGACTGGAGCAGAAATTCTGGAGCCAGGAGAAGAACATGTTGGTGCAGGAATCCCAGCAGTTCAAGCACAACTTCCTGCTGCTCTTCATGAAGCTCAGGTGGTTCCTCAAGCGCTGGCGGCAGGGCAAGGTTTTGCCCAATGAAGGAGATGACTTCCTTGAGGTATGGTGGAGCCTGGGCTTAGGACTGGGACTGTGGTGAGGAGTAGGGCAGAGGAACGGAAAGGGACACTTGGCAGGTGTTGACAGCTCATATCCCTGCCTTCGGTTTGCAGGTTTCCTTCCCTGCATTCATGGGCTCAATTCAGCATCTGTTGGTTGCAACCAGTCCTTCACTGGGCACATGGCAGGTGGTGGGTATACCCTGGTGGAGAAAACAGGCTCAGTCCTGCCTTGACAGGAGAAAGTCTCTTTGGGACTGGTTGGTCCTTTATACAGAGGCTTCAGCAGGCAGCAGTATCTAGGTGAATTTAATAATCTAGTTTTGCTGGGTGTGGTGGCTCATATCTATAATCCCAGCACTTTGAGAGGCCAAGGCAGGAGGATTACTTGAGGCTAGGATTCGAGACCAGCCTGGGTAACATAATGAGACCCCTGGGCTTTACAAAAAATTAAAGAAAAATCGTCCAGGTGTGGTTGTATGTGGCTATATATCGTACAGCTCCTACTTGAGAAGCTGAAGTAGGAGGATCGTTTGAGCCTAGGAGTTGAGGGCTTTCCTGAAGTGTGATCATGCCATTGCACTCTAGTCTGGGCAACAGAGTGAGACCCTGTATCAAACAAACAAAAAATCTGTGCAGTACCCATAGCTCAGTGGGTAGGGCGCTGGCCACATACACCAAGGCTGGTGGGTTCAAACCTGGCCCAGGCCAGCTAAAAAACAACAGTGACAACTGCAACAACAACAAAAAATAGCCAGGCATTTTGGGGGTAGCTGTAGTCCCAGCTACCTGGGAGGCTGAAGCAAGAGAATTGCTTAAGCCCTAGAGTTTAAGGTTGCCGTGAGCTATGACACCATGGCACTCTACCCAAGGCAACAACTTGAGACTCTGTCTCAAAAAAAAAAATCTAATTTTGTTGTAATTCTATTGCATATGGATGGATATACATTTATATTCAGTGTCCCAAGAGGCTATGCACCTTGGCTTATACCAGTGATTTTCAACTGGTGTGCTGTGAGAAGATCTTAAAGATCATTATTTATTTTTGAAAGCATAGTAAGTATATTATTGTTTTTACTTTTTTTTTTTTTTGATCAACATAATTTAAGTGTGCTTGGAAGTTTAACTTTAGGTTTAAATGTGCCATGAGATAAAAAAAAAAAAAAGATTGAAAAACACTGGCTTACATAGTGCCAAGGGCCAAAGTTTAAGATGTGGGAAGTGAGTGCTGGGATAGGATGCCTAAAGCCCTGTTCACCCTGCCTGCCTGGCTGTGGAGTCCCCTTTCTATTGGGGCTACCTGCCAGGGTCTTCTGGTTCTGAAGGCTGGAGCCCCAAATCTGACATCCTTCCACCTCCTATTGAGTGTGTGTTTTTTTTAATAGGTAAATAGCATGAAGGAGTTGTACCTGCTTATGGAGGAAGAGGAAATAAACGCTCAGCATTCTGATAACAAGGCTTGCATGGGGGACAGCTGGACCCAGAACACGGTGCGTTCTCAGCCCCTTCCTAGTCTTGTTCTGTCTATTCCTTTCTTTGTCCATATGTGGATCATTTCCTGCTACTTTCTCTGACCCCATCCCTGCAATGGGCATCTGAGCTATATAGGGTTATTGCTTGGATACTTGCTCCCAGATGCTCAGTGCTGTGGGGTATAGAAGTCATTCTGGGGCAGTGACAGAATGCCAGATGATGGACTGTGGAGTTACAGATGAGAGCCCAGAGCCATTAATTCTACTTGGAGTATTGGAGACAGCATCAGAGGAAGGGTCATATGTAGTGGGTTTTGAAGGATGAATAGGAGCTTGCCTCATAGAGAATGGAGAAAATACCTCTGTGAATTTAGAAAACTTTATGTGCAGAGGTGTGGCAAGGTATTCTGGGACCCACATTCTGGGTGTGGCTTTGGAGGTACCTAGTAGGGGGGTAAGGACATCAGGCTAGCATCCTATGAAGTGGGGCCTTGTGGACTCAGCTCAGGAACCCTCAAATTAAGCCATCAGTCAGAGAGAACAGGGAGTTGAGATCCCAGGGTCACACACAGAGAGCTGGGGTAGGGGTGGGAAATAAGGTCTGCATTGGGTCAGAGAGGCAGATCCTGAGCAAAGAGAAAGACACCGCCTAAAGCTGCAGAGCCTTGAAGCAGCCAGATTACTTAGCTCAGATATAGTTTGAATAATTATTACTGTAACTGTAAGATTTTCCTGCTTATGTTAGGTTTGGAACTGGTATCAGCCTAGGAGGTAGCCAGAGCAGGGCTTGTCATCCCTGTTTTATGGGTAAGATGACCTCAGGAGGTCATGGGACTTGCCCAAGGCCTGGTAGAGTCCTGAGCTGGACTCCTAAGTGAGTTCTCTGAGTTAAGGCTCCCCTTCCTTCCCCTCCAAAAACTCTGACCCACATCTTCTCCTGTCTGCAGCCCAATGAGTACATCAAGACCCTGGCAGACATGAAGGTGACATTGAAGGAGCTATGCTGGCTACTCCGGGATGAACGCCGTGGTCTGACTGAGCTTCAGCAACAGTTTGCCAAGGCCAAGGCCACCTGGGAGACAGAGCGGGCGGAACTCAAAGGCCACACCACCCAGGTGAGGACCCCATGTATAAGGGATGTGCTCCCTTGCTGTCAGTCAGATTTGAGAATAGGCTGCCCACACTATGATCTTAAAGGCTTAGGTACCCTCTTACTTCACCCTGTTGCCCAGAGAGGGCAAGAAGCTTGCCTAGAATCAGACAGCAGGAGAGGGGAGCAGGAGTCACTGGGATAGGGAAAGAAGGTGGGGGATTGACAGAGAGGCAGGGAGCATCACAGGCACCTCTGTGGCACCTGGGTGCTCAGGTGAGGCCAGCATGCTTAAATGCCTGTCTGTACCTGGTGATGCCCTTCACACAAACTGGGCTGTCCTGGCTGGATCCCCTTAACCCTGTTACCTGGCTGTTTGGCTCCCTCCACTCAAACTTGGGGCCTCCCCTGTTAACAACCCAGCCTGGGCTCGGTGCCTATAGCTCAACCGGCTAAGGCGCCAGCCACGTACACCTAAGGTGGTGGGTTCGAATCCCCAGCCCAGACCCATCAAACAACAATGATGGCTGCAACCAAAAAATAGCTGGGCGTTGTGGCGGGCGCCTGTGGTCCCAGCTACTTGGGAGGCGGAGGAGACTCACTTGAGCCCAGGAGTTGGAGGTTGCTGTGAGCTGTAATGCCACGGCACTCTGCCCAGGGGGACAGCTTGAGGCACTGTCTCAAAAAAAAAAACAAAAAACAACCCAGCCTGACCAAAGGAGCCTTAGCTAGGAGCCCCCTGGTTTGCTGTCTGTTGTGTGCCTGGAGGCAAGCTGCTGCCCTGCCTCTGTTCTGAAAAGTAAGAGGTTGGGCATCCTTCCTGGAATCACTGGCCCCTGGGATGTGGTACTCTGATGTTCACGCCTGGACAGATGACAGAAGAGGCACAGAGGAGTAAAGTTTCCCTTTCAGTGTCTCTTGGCTAGTAAATGCCAGACTAATCCTTGTTCCCCAAGCCTCTGCCCCTCCTCTGTCTCCCCATACCCAATTCTATCATCTTCTCAGTGCTCACAGGCTACCGGCTTCCTCCCAGGGCCATTTTCTTCCCCTCCTGAGCCACCCTGCTGATTTCACAGCTCCCACTCATCTGCACATTCCATCTCCACATTCCACTGTGTTCACTGGTTTGTGTCCCCCAAACCCAGCCATTCTAGACATTCCTTCTCCTAGAACCTGACTGGCCCCATGGAGGTTGCTTTCCTAGACCACAGCCAGGGGCATGTGGAGGAAATTGAGGCTTAAGGTTACACATTTACATCCTGTCACCCTGAGGTCTGGGGCCAGAAAAGCCATAGCGTTGGTGATTCCTGCATGTACACATTACATGACTGTATGTGCATGTCCCCATACAGAGCCTGTGGGGGACAAGGTGAGGCCCTAGTTTTCTAGGAGGAAGTATAATCACATATCCATTAATTAAAATCTATGCTACTGATGAGAGTTGAACTATCATGAGAAACAGTAACTAGGAACCTCGCCATGTCATTGCTTTGTGACCTGGGACAAATAACTCCTTTGAACCTTTTCTTCCTCTGTAAAATATGGGTAATGGTAATTCTTCCAGAGTCTTCACCAGGACACTGTAGTACCTGAAAAGCCCACTGCACAGAGCTTGGCTTGTAGAAAGAGCTCTACAGACCCTATTATGAGGAGGTCAGTGAAGGCTTCCCAGGTGAAGGGTCTACCCAAGAGACTCCTCTCCCACTTCCCCTGCTGGCACCCAGGAGGGAAGGCAGGAAGAGGGGCCTCCTGGTGCCAGCTGCCCATCTCCCTCTTTCGGCAGATGGAGCTGAAGGCTGGCAAGGGAGCTGGGGAAAGGGCAGGGCCTGAGTGGAAGGCAGCCCTACAGAGGGAGCGTGAGGAGCAGCAGCACCTCCTGGCAGAGTCCTACAGTGCTGTCATGGAGCTGACGCGGCAGCTGCAGATCAGCGAGCGCAACTGGAGCCAGGAGAAGCTGCAGCTGGTGGAGCGGCTGCAGGGTGAGAAGCAGCAGGTGGAGCAGCAGGTGAAGGAGCTGCAGAACCGCCTGAGTCAGGTGAGGCTTGCAAGCCCTACCAGAGGTAGGGTTTCCTTCAGGTATAGTTGGATCCAGGGGCTCAGACACTGAAGTGTGGCAGAGGATGTAGCTCTCTCAGGAACAGCTGGGTCCAAGTGCTTAGAGAACATAGTAGGAACCAGGTCTTTCTCTCTGACTCAGTTGCTCAAGGGTACTTCTCTTTGCATATCAGTTTTACTCTTAAGCTATCCCCAGATCGGGCTGCTGTTGGTTTCTATCTTTTTTTTTTTTTTGAGACAGAGTCTCACTTTATCACCCTCGGTAGAGTGTCATGGCGTCACAGCTCAGAGCAACCTCCAGCTCTTGGGCTTAGGCTATTCTCTTGCCTCAGCCTCCCAAGTAGCTGGGACTACAAGTGCCTGCCATAACGCCTGGCTACTTTTTTCTTTTTTTATGTTGCAGTTTGGCTAGGGCCAGGTTTGAACCCCCTACCCTCGTTTTATGGGGCCTGTCCCCTACCCACTGAGCCACAGGTGTACCCCTCCCACTCCACCCACCGAACCCCCCTGCTGTTGGTTTCATTGTCATATCTTACAGTTTAGCATTTGCAACAGATAGAGGTCCATTTTCACAAGGCTCTGATTGGCCAGGTGTGAGTCATGTGCTCACCCTTGGAGCCTGCCAAAACCCAAGAGAGAGGCTGGGGAGTGGTGGCTCATGCCTCTTATCCTAGCACTCTGGGAGGCTGAGGCAGGTGGATTGCTTGAGCTCAGGAAATCAAGACAAGCCTGAGCAAGAGTGAGACCTCATCTCTACTAGGATACATTTTCTAAAAATAGAAAAATTAGCTGGGCATTATGGCAGATGTCTGTAGTCCTAGCTACTTGGGAGGCTGAAACAAGTGGATCACTTGAACCCAAGAGTTTGAGGTTGCTGTGAGCTATGATATTACAGCACTCTACCCAGGGCAACAAACTAAGACTGTCTCAAAAAAAAAAAAAAAAAAAAAAGAGGGAGGAACTAAGAATGGTTCCCATGAGAAGATTGGAGTCCTCTGACCAAACTCCTTTGGGAAGTTTGGAAGGAAGGAAACTCCTTTTCCTTTCCTTTCCTGGGAAAGGAAAAGCTATTAATGATCATTACCCCCATCTCAATTCATATCACACTCTCAGCTACTGCCTACCATGCTGCTATGCTCCACTCTTTACTTTTACTTTTTCCTTTCTTTTATTTTTTACTTTAATCACATAAATCAGGACTTTGCCTTTATATGCATATAAGACCCAAATACAAGTATTACAAAAGCATACTCCAACCCACTTCTTCCCTTTCTTACTATTTAATTTTTTTTCCTTATGAGACAGGATCTCACTTTATCACCCAGGCTAGAGTACTGTGTTATAATCATAGCTCATAGCAACCTCTGCTCCTGGGCTCAAGCGATTCTCCTGCCTCAACCTCTCAAGTAGCTGGGACTGCAGGCGCACAGTACCACACCTGGCTAATTTTTCTATTTTTTGTTGACAGGGTCTCGCTCTTGCTTATGCTGGTTCCAAAGTGATCCTCTCACCTAGGCCTCCCAGAGTGCTGATATTACAGGCATTAGCCAACATGCCCAGCTTCTTGCTATTTAAATTTATATTCACATAGTTTTTTTTTCTATATTTTTTTATCATTAATAGAGTCATAATATATACTTTGTTTACACTTTGCCTAGTGCGGAGACACCATAATTTATTATTCCGTATCGAGGAAGTCTAGATTGTTTCCAGTTTTTCTCTTTTGAAAGATGTGCCTCAAGCTGGGGACGGTGGCACATGCCTATAGCCCTAGCTACTTGGGAAGCTGAGGCGAGAGGAGCTCTTAAGGCCAGGACTTTGAGGCTGCAGGGCAGTGTGATTGGGCCTGTGAATAGTCATTGTACTCCAGCCTGGGCAGCATAGCAAGACTCTGTCTCCATTAAAAGTTGTATTTCGTGAACATCTCCACATGTATGTTTTTCTGTACATGCATGAATATTTTGGAAGGATAGCTTCCTAAAAGTGAAATTGCTGTATTCAGGAGCATTTGCATTTACGATTGATGGCAACTGTTAAACCACCAGCTAGAAAGGCTTTGCCCATCCACATTTCCACCAGCCACATAAGGAGAAGAGCCTGTTTAACTTTATCTTTCCCTCTTGTAATTACCAATATTTGAAATGTCTGCCCAGGTCAGTGTAAAATGCTGTCTCTTTGTTTTAGTTTGCGTTTCTCTGATGTCTAGTGAAGGTGAACATCTTTTCATCAGCTTATTGATCACGTGTGTTCCCTCTTCCTAACGCTATCTGCAGTCTTCCAACAGTTCTTCAAGGTCACAATTACTGACCTCCCTTTAAAGATGAGGAAACTGAGGCAAAGTGACTTGCCCAAGGTCATCAAATGACTAAGGGACAGGGCCAGAATCCGGCAGAACTCCCAAGTCAGGACAGTCCCTGGGCCCTGCCCACTCTCCTGCAGGGACAGAGCTCCTTTGAGGTTCACACCTACTAAGAGCTTGTTTTTGACAAGTGCCTTGCAGGGTGGCAGGATGACAGACGAACCACAGAACAATCCATGTACCACCTTGAAAGTAGACCAGGTGTACCTGTTTGCATTATCAAACTACATTCCTATGTATAAAAGAATAATTCCTTTTTGCTGTATGAAAAACAAAATAGTTGTAAAATGATTTTGAAATTATGACACCAGCCCCATAGCATACCAGTAGAAACATATCAGTCCATAGCATGTCCTGCCAGCTCATCAGGGCACAAATTCTTTGTCTTTCTCTTGTTTGCACATCAGGGGATCTTGCATGGGAATTGCTGGCCCTCTAGCTCTAGCCTCCTGTGCTTCTAACCAGGTCCCCTGGATTGACAGTTATATGGTCAGAGTGGCTGGTGGGAAACAGTTTCTCACCAGCAGTCCTCAATCCCTACCTGGCTGTAACACCAATGTTCTCATTCACATAGACCAGAGAGAAACCAAGGCATGGAGAGCAGGTGCAACATGCTTTATTCAGCTCACAGGTGGGTGGTGAGCAAGCATGGGAGGTCTGCCCTTATCCAGCTCCTGGCAGCTGAGGAGCTGAGTTACACAGAAAGTCTATGTTCTGTACTCTCAGTCCCCACATACAGAAGGTCTTGACACTTTTATACCCAGGGGAACAATAATAGCAACATGCCAAATAGCAGTTACATAAGCATGACTTCACTGTACACAGTTATGGCTATCTAGGAACACATGGCACTTTCCCGTGGTAAGAAAGCCTAGACAGGCTTGGCATCTGTGGCTCCAGCTGGTAAGGCGCCAGCCACATATACCTGAGCTGGCGGGTTCAGATCCAGCCCGGGCCTGCCAAGCAACAATGATGGCTGCAACCAAAAAAATAGCCGGGCGTTGTGGTGGGCGCCTGTAGGCCCAGCTAATTGGGAGGCAGAGACAGGAGACTCGCTTGAGCCCAGGAGTTGGAGGTTGCTATGAGGGCACTCTACCCAGGGTGATAGCTTGAGACTCCATCTCAAAAAAAAAAAAAGAAAAGAAAACCTAGACAACTTTATCTTTTCCCATACCCAGAGCCACGGGTGAGCAAGTCAAAACCACTTTTGCCCATCCCTACACTGGCTCTGCCATGTATAGCCCCAGCCAGGTCACTTCTGATCTCTGGGCCTTACCTGTGGAATGAGGATGACTATACTTAACCTTCTTATCTCACGGGGTAGCTATGGGAATAAGAGGAAATAGCCGGGCCAGGTGTGGTGGCTCACACTTGTAATCCTAGCACTTTGGGAGGCCAAGGTGGGTGGTTTGCCTGAGTTCGCAGGTTCAAGACCACCCTGAACAAGAGCAAGACCGCCATCTCTAAAAATAGCCAGGCGTTGTGATGGGCGCCTGTAGTCCCAGCTACTCGGGAAGCTGAGGCAGGAGAATCGCCTGAGCCCAAGAATTTGAGGTTGCTGTGAGCTGTGATGCTACGGCACTCTACCAAGGGTGACAGAACGAGACTGTGTCTCAAAGAAAAAAAAAGAGGAAATAGCCATCAGAACACTTTGGGGTAATTCAGGTGCTCCTAGGCCTGCCCCTGCTGGGCTTTGCTTTGATCCTGTGGTCTTCATCCGTTGATTCTGTCCTTTCATGTTAATATTGTTCTTGTTGGCTTGGCGCCTGTGGCTCAAGCGGCTAAGGCGCCAGCCACATACACCTAAGGTGGCGGGTTCGAATCCCCAGCCCCGGCCCGCCAAACAACAATGATGGCTGCAACCAAAAAATGGCCAGGCGTTGTGGCGGGCGCCTGTGGTCCCAGCTACTTGGGAGCCTGAGGCAGGAGACTCGCTTGAGCCCAGGAGTTGGAGGTTGCTGTGAGTGTGATGCCATGGCACTCTACCCACGGTGATAGCTTGAGGCTCCGTCTCAAAAAAAAAAAAAAAAAAAAAAATATTGTTCTTGTTGTTGCCCCTGTTTGTCTCATGTGGGGCTCCTAAGAAGCCTGAGACTTGGATTCAAGTGCAAGTAAGGTGACCAACCCATCCTGGTTTATCTGGGACAAAGGCTGTTCCTGGGACTTCCACTTTTTTTTTTTTTTTTTAAACAGAGTCCCACTATGCCGCCCTCGGTAGAGTGCTGTACCATCACAGCTCACAGCAACCTCAAACTCTTGCGCTTAAGCAATTCTCTTGCCTCAGCCTCCCAGGTAGCTGGGACTACAGGCACCCACCACAACACCAGCTATTTTTTGGTTGTGGTTGTCATTGTTGTTTAGCAGGCCTGGGCTGGGCTCAAACCCACCAGCGTTGGTGTACTTGGCTGGTGTCCTACTCACTGAACTCTGGGCGTGGAGCCGGGACTTCCACTTTTAAAACTGGAATAAGCCGAGCCACAGCCTCCCATTTTTTTCAGAACTAAGGGTTTTCTGGGATGTGGCACTTTTAGTGCCCACACTGAGAAGGTCCTGGGCAAACCAGGATGAGTGGGTTCCCCTCTTGTGATTCAAAGGCACAGAGGAAGCCTGGATAGGGAAAGAGGAGAAGCCAGGCAAGGATATGCTTTTCAGCAAAATCTGCCCTCAGCCCAATCCCCGACATACTCAGGATCATAGACAGTAAACCTCCTCACAGCTGGTCTGCCCTAGGGCAAAGGCTTGGCTTTGGGACCAGCCTTTTGAACCTCCTGCCTTTGTCTGTCATTGACAGTGATTGGGTTCTAGTAACCCAAGGTGATCCTCCAAGGATGCTGCAGCTCCAGATGGCACAGATGAGGCCACTGAGCCATAGGATCTGATACGCTACAGGGTGTCCCAAAAGTCACCCCTAAAGTCGCCAGACGTAGGGAAAATGGGAAATATTTACAAAAATGTTCACAAATATTTTCTATATGTTGACCACCTTTTTTTTATTTTTAGTAGAACTGGGATCTTGCTCCGGCTGGTCTCAAACTCCTGAGCTCAAGTAATCCACTTGCCTGGGGCCTCCCAGAGTGCTAGGATTACAGGTGCCCGGCCTTGACCACCTGTTTGTAAAATTTTATAATGAATATTTTGTAAATAAAGGTACATTTAGCAATGATTTTCCATTTTCCCTATGTATGGTGACTTGAGGGGTGACTTTTGGTACACCTCTGTTGTTGTTAACATTGTCATTCATTTAGCTGCCTGACCTTGGGCATGTTTCTCTCTGGATTTTGATCCTGTCATCTGTTAGATGAAAATAACCATAGTGACATCTGTCATCTTTGGTTGCTGAGGACTAAATTAGCTAATGGCACATAGTAAACAGGTTCCATCCCCTCCACCTGGAGTTGATGAAGCTCCAGGAGGAGAAAGAAACACTGGCCACCTCGAGGCCCAGTGGGAACAGTGCTGGGATCCATTAGTGATGGCCATCGAGACAGAGCAACAAGGTTACCTGGGTCTTGTCTTTGCCACCTGATATGCTGTAACTGCTCTGTAGCTAATCTAGTATTCCAAGAACTATAGGATGAATAACATAATAGTAACAACTGCTACTATATTGTAGTGACATTTAGAAGGATACTTTCAAGTAGTTGCTTTTATTATCATTTCCCAAATCCACCTGTGGGTGACTCACAGCTGCCACCCACTGAGAAGGTGGCCCCTAGCACGTGATGTGCGTCTTCTGGGCCGCAGAGTGGAGTCTGGGGAGTGGCTCTTCTGTGAGCAGGATCCTGCTGACCAGCTTTGCCTGCCACTGACTCCCTCTCTCTGCCCTTATCCAGCTGCAGAAGGCTGCCGACCCCTGGGTCCTGAAGCACTCAGACCTGGAGAAGCAGGACAACAGCTGGAAAGAGGTGAGGAGGGCAGTTGCCACTTGTGTTCTCTTGGCTCCTGCTACACCATAAAGATCCCTGCTTGCGGGAGATGTGACAAGAGGATGCTAATGTTGTTCTGCAGGATCGTGCTCTTGTGCCTTGGGCTCCTCAGTCCTGGGGTCTCTTCTCCATAGTTCCTGCCTGTTTGGGACTTGGGAAGGGTCCTCTGCCAACGCCATCCTTCCATATCGGGGAGCATCCTTTGGCTTCTCTTTGTTTCAGTCATAGCCTATGAAACACAAGGCCCCCAAATAGCTGTGTGATCTTAGATAAGTCACTCTTCCCTCTCTGAGTCCCAGTTGCCTCTTCAGTAGATGAGAATCACATTTTCTGCTTGTACCCAGACATGGGTGAAGATAATAACGTCACAGTGGTGGGGTTTGCACATAAGCCCAGGCGCCAGTCGTCATATAGCAACACACTGCATAATCAAACCGTCAGCTGCAGACCCTTTGCATCACCCTGTTCCATCCTCATGATGCCTGAGGATATGTGGGTCAGTCAGAAGATTTGGTTGCAAACAAACACCAATTCTAGGGAATTAAGGCAGGAGCTTTTTATTAGGGGCTCAAATGGACAAGTTATGCAATTCAAAAACCACTGCAGGTCCCAGGGCACTGTTGCAGGAACCAGGGTGAAACAAGCTCAGAAGAGTAGCTGCCAGGTTGTGGCTGTCACTATCAACCGAACAGTGGGCCACTAAGTGGTTGGTTGCTGCTAACTCATTTGGAGTGAGAACAGTCTCTCTTTCCATGGGGGTCACTCTTGGGGGTCTGGTTGACTTAGCCTGGATCACATAATTATGGTAGAGGAGTTAGATGCAGTGCAGCCAGAAACTGCATTTGAGACCATTGATGGTATCAATTTGCTCTACAGATGAGGAGAATTAGGCTCTGAAGTCTGGGCACGGCTCCCCCACAGACTTCCTGTCATCTTTCCTTGGTGCTCTGGTGACCAGAACTGACCCATTCTGTCTCTCTTCCTTGACAGACACGCAATGAGAAGATCCATGACAAGGAACCTGTTTCTGAAGTTGAGCTTGGGGGAACCGGCTTAAAGAGGTGCTGTGCTCCGTAGCCCCCTCAGCCCTGCCCCTGCCTCTGTCCCACCCCACCCCTTTGCCTCTCTTCTAGACTCCCCTGCCCCACACATCCTCCACTGTCCCTCATCAAAGTTGGGGGAGCATAGGGATATGGTTTGTTTGGGGTATAAGTCACATAGGAGCTAGAAAGCCTGGGGCAATGAGAATTCCAGCCTGCAGTGTATTATTTGTTTATGCCTGGGTGTGGAAACCAGGGCCAGGCATATCCTTACTGGGAAAGACACTGTTTAACTCTTCTTGGGATCCTTTTATCCTGTCTCCAGAATTAAGAGAGTCAAGATGGACATCTATGCCTCAGATTATTGAATTCTAGCCTGTGCTGTGGCTGGGGGGATCCCCAGACTGTAAGGACCATATCTCCACTGTTAGGAACCCAGTGAAAGGAATAAGGGAAGCGGAACCCCACGGGAGCCTTCCCAAGCAGCCAGGAAGCCAAGCAGGCCCTTGAGTAGGAGGATGGGGCTTGGGCTCAGAGGGCCAGGTTTGAATTCCAGCCCTGCCATTTCTAGCTCTGTGGCCTTGGCAGCATTTCTCATCTCCATCTAGGAGGGGATAATAGGAGCTCCTCTCAGAGTGAGAAGAGTGGTCTGACATGGCTGTGTACTTACGTGTGCCTGGAACTTTCAGTCATTCAGGCAACACATGTACCAGGTCTATGCTGGGCATTTAATGTGCATAAGTTTGGGTTTCCTAGAAGCAAACACTGAGATAAGGATTTAAGTGCAAATGGTTTATCTGGGAGAGGATTTCAGGAAATGTCTGGAAGTGAGACAGGAAAAGAAAAAGCAATTATAAGAGGAGTTTCAACCAAGTTATCCCATTGGTCACTGGGACGCACTCACTCAGGAACTCAAGGAGCCAGAATAGGACCTACAAGTCTGTTATCCCACCAAGAGGCATGGGGAGCAGGGGTACTTGTTCATGAAAGTTTTGTTTACTTTTTATTATTTATTTATTTTGAGACAGAGTCTTACTTTTGTGCTGTGGCATCATAGCTCACAGCAACCTCAAACTCTTGGGCTTAAGCAATCCTCTTGCCTCAGCCTCCCAAGTAGCTGGGACTATAGGCACCTGCCACAGTGCCTGGTGAGGTTTTCTGTTTTAGATAGAGATGGGGTCTCGCTCTTGCTCAGGTTGGTTTTGAACTCCTGAGCTCCAGCGATCCACCTGCCTCAGCCTTCCAGGGTTGTGGGATTGTAGGTGTGAGCCACTGTGCTGACCTTCTACCTATTGTTTATTGAAGGCTGTGTGCAGGGCAGTGTTTTTCAACCTATTTTTTGTTTTTTTTTAGTGAAAGCGTTTCACTTTGTTGCCATTGGTAATGTGCTGTGGCATCACAGCTCACAGAAACCTCCAGCTCTTGGGCTTAGGTGATTCTCTTGCCTCAGCCTCCTGAGTAGCTGGGACTACAGGCGCCCACCACAATGCCCGGCTATTTTTTGTTTGGCCAGGGCCGAGTTTGTACCTGTCACCCTTGGAATATGGGGCCAGTGCCCTACTCACTGAGCCATGGGCACCACCCTTTTCAACCTATTTTATCTCATGGCACACTTGAACCTATAGTTAAACTTCTTTTTTTCTTTTTTGGAGACAGTGTCTCACTATGTTGCCCTCAGTAGAGTACCGTCGTGTCACAGCTCACAGCAACCTCAAACTCTTGGGCTTAAGAGATTCTCTTGCCTCAGACTCCCAAGTAGCTACAGGAGCCTGTTACAACACCTGGCTATTTTTTGTTGTTGCTGTTGTCATTGTTGTTTAGCAGCCTGGGTCAGGTTTGAACCTGCCAGCCTTGGTGTATGTGGCTGGCGCCCTAACCACTGAGCTACGGGCACTGAGCCTATAGTTAAACTTTTGTGGCACACTTAAATTATGTTGATCAGAAAAAGAGTAAAAAAAAAAAAAAAAAGAAGAAGAAGAGTATACTTACTGTGCTTTGAACTTCTTTTGAAAATAATTTAATTAATGGTCTTCTTTTGTTACTGTTTTTTTGAGACAGAGTCTCAAGCTGTCAACCTGGTTAGAGTGCTGTGGTGTCATATCTCACAGCAACCTCCAACTCTTGGGCTCAAGCGATCCTCTTGCCACAGTTTTTTTCTATTTTTAGTAGAGATGGGGTCTTGCTTTTGCTCAGGCTGGTCTCAAACTCGTGAGTTCAAGGAATCCACCTGCCTCAGTCCCCCAGAGTGCTAAGATTCCAGGCATGAACCACTGCACCCGGCTTTCATTAATGATCTTTAAAAATTTTCACAGCACTCCTAAGATTATCTCATGACACCAGTGTGTCACAGCATACCGGTTGAAAATCTCTTGTGTAGGGGCATAAACACTTCTGGTTATAGCTTTGTCTATGTGGAGGCCAAGTATAATCCCACAGGTAGAGAATAAGGCCTCAGGCGTTCAGAGTAGGCAGTTTGGGGTGCACAGGTGAGAGTAGGGAGTGAATATGGGGCTGGGCACCAACAGCATCTTCTGTAGGAGGTGGGCAAGTCAGTGCACAGAGGGAGGTGAGAGTGGGTGCTTAGTGTATGTTATTTTCCACTAATACTGCATTTCCTCCTCCATCATATGCAGGACCAAATCTGTTTCTTCCATGTCTGAGTTTGAAAGTTTGCTGGACTGTTCCCCCTACCTTCCTGGTGGAGATGCCCGTGGCAAGAAGCTGCCCAACAACCCTGCCTTTTCCTTTGTTAGTGCTGAGTCGGTAGATCCAGAGAAAGATGCCAAGGAAAAGCCCGGGCTCTCACCAAGAGACTGCAACCGCCTGGGTGCTCTGGGCTGCCAGGACCCCTCAGGGAGGCAGATGCAGCGCAGCTATACAGCGCCCGACAAGACAGGCATCCGAGTCTACTACAGCCCCCCTGTGGCCCGGCGCCTGGGCGTTCCTGTGGTCCATGACAAGGAGGGCAAGATCGTCATCGAGCCAGGCTTCCTCTTCACCACAGCCAAGCCCAGAGAGCCAGCTGAGGCTGAGGGACTGGCCGAGAGCTCCTATGGCAGGTGGCTCTGCAATTTCTCACGGCAGCGCCTGGACGGGAGCTCAGGGGGCAGCCCCTCAGCGGCCGGGCCTGGCTTCCCAGCAGCCCTGCATGACTTCGAGATGTCAGGCAACATGAGTGACGATATGAAGGAAATCACCAACTGCGTGCGCCAGGCCATGCGCTCGGGCTCGCTGGAGAGGAAAGTGAAGAGTACGTCCAGCCAGACAGTGGGCCTGGCCAGTGTGGGCACCCAGACCATTCGCACAGTCAGCGTGGGCCTGCAGACTGACCCACCCCGTAGCAGCCTCCACAGCAAGAGCTGGTCACCCCGCAGCTCCTCACTCGTGTCCGTGCGCAGCAAGCAGATCTCCTCCTCCCTGGACAAGGTCCACTCACGCATCGAGCGGCCCTGCTGCTCCCCCAAGTATGGCTCGCCAAAGCTCCAGAGGCGGTCTGTATCCAAGCTAGACAGCACCAAGGACCGCAGCCTGTGGAACCTCCACCAAGGCAAGCAGAATGGCTCTGCCTGGGCCCGTTCCACCACCACACGGGACAGCCCTGTGTTGAGGAACATCAATGATGGACTATCCAGCCTCTTCAGTGTGGTGGAGCACTCAGGGAGCACGGAATCCGTTTGGAAACTGGGCATGTCTGAGGCCCGAGCCAAGCCGGAGCCTCCTAAGTATGGCATTGTGCAGGAGTTCTTCCGCAATGTGTGTGGCCGGGCACCAAGCCCCACCTCGGCAGCAGGAGAGGAGAGCACCAAGAAGCCAGAGCCCCTCTCCCCGGCCAGCTACCACCAGCCAGACGGTGTGGCCAGGATCCTGAACAAGAAGGCAGCCAAGTCAGGCAGCAGCGAGGAGACCAGGCCCACTGTGCTCCCCCAGGTGGGGAAGGATGGTGTCCTCCGGGATGGAGATGGAGTTCTGGTCCTTCCAAGTGAGGTAGGTAGTGGGTGGGAACTGCCTGTTTTCTGTGGAGGTGGGATTAGCTGATGAGGTCCAAGCTCTTTGGGTTTTTAAACTTAGGAATATGGTTATGTATCTCAAAAAGTTCTTCGGGTGTTCTGGAATGGGGTTGGAAGGTTCTGGATCTAGAACAACACAGATCTGATGCTCAAATGATTTGAATACCAAGAGATTAGTGAGCCTAGCTTAACTAGCTGCTTTGCCACCACCCACTGGAGATTGCCAGCATCCCCTCCAGGGATGTGGTGTGCCCAGTGCTCTCCTGTTACCCATCGGTGTGCTGGAGCCAGTTTGTTTGGCTTGAGAGAGGTGAGCATAAGCATCTTTGTTCAGTAATGTTACTTTGGTGGTTTAAGATTGATTACAGTGGGAAGCTTTACACCATAAAAATTGACAGATGCTATAAATCAGGGCTCTTCTCCTTAGTCCTGGAAGACCAGCTATTAAATAGTAACCAGTATACCCTTTCCCCCATTCCATTAGCCCTTCACATGATGTAAGTGTTCACATTGTCTCTGAGGACCTTTTGCTGAACAACCCACTCCTGAAGTCAATTTCTGATAAGTTAGGGAAGATTTGAATATTAGTAACAGAATGCATGTCAGTTAGCTTTGCAGGTGGGGAAGGATGGCAGAGTATCTTGTGAAACCCAAGAGAAGGGACTTTGAGGCCTCAGCAGCTTCTCCCTGTCTCCCTGTCCTCTCCCTTCAGCTTGATTTTCTGTGATGTCCTCTTCCTCCTCTTTTTTCTCTCTGTTATATTTGCACAGGGACTGGGTGGGCTGTCCTGGCTCTGTTTTGTTTTGTTTTGTTTTTTGAGACAGAGTCTCACTATGTCACCTTCAGTAGAGTACTATGGTGTCATAGCTCACAGCAACCTCAAACTCTTGGCCTCAAGCGATTCTCTTGCCTTAGCCTCCCAAGTAGCTGGGACTACAGGCGCCTGACACAACACCCAGCTATTTTATTATTTTTTTTTTTTTTTTTTTTTTTTTTGAGACAGAGCCTCAAGCTGTCCCCCTGGGTAGCGTGCCGTGGCATTACAGCTCACAGCAACCTCCAACTCCTGGGCTCAAGCGAGTCTCCTGCCTCCGCCTCCCAAGTAGCTGGGACCACAGGCGCCCGCCACAGCACCCGGCTATATTTTTTTGGTTGCAGCCGTCATTGTTGTTTGGCGGGTCCGGGCTGGGGATTCGAACCCGCCACCTTAGGTGTACGTGGCTGGCGCCTTAGCCGGTTGAGCTATAGGCGCCGAGCCTATTTTATTATTTCAATTGTGATATTTTTCTGTTTGTTTGTTTGGTTTTTTTTGCAGTTTTTGGCCAGGGTGGGTTTGAACCTGCCACCTTTGGTATATGGGGTCGGCTCCCTTACTCCTTGAGCCACAGGTGCTGCCCTGTAGTTGTCGTTGTTTAGCAGGCACGGGCCAGGTTTGAACCTGCCAGCCCCAGTGTATGTGGCTGGTGCCCTAACCACTGAGCTACGGGCGCCACGTCCTGGCTCTGGTTTTATAATGTCTTCTAGTTCAAGCATCTAGAGGAGACTGACTCAAATCTCTCTGTCCCAGTTCCACATTTCTGGAAGAAAGAAATTCTAATTGGTCCAGGTTGTGTGAAGTATACCCCTTTGGTCCAGTCAGCTGTCACTGAGGGATTGTTGTGCTGTGGATTCAGTGGGTACAGACAGGGGCACAGAGACGTAAAAAGGACTATGTGTGGGAAGGGCTGTGATTGACTCAAGAGGTCAACTTCCCTATCGTACATCCCCGTGGTTTCTATGATAATATAGTTTTCCCTATTATGAATAATGCTGTAGTGAACATCTTGGTGCCAAAAATGTTTTTCAACATTTCAGATTATTTCCTTAGGTTTGAGTTGCAGAAATGGAATTATAGGATGAAAGAATATAAATTTTTTTTTTTTTTTTTTGAGACAGAGTCTCACTGTGAGACAAGGATTAGAGTAGAGTGGCCTGGGTAGAGTGCTGTGGCATCACAGCAACCTCAAACTCTTGGGCTTAACTGATTCTCTTGCCTCAGCCTCCCAAGTAGCTGGGAATACAGGCACCCGCCACAATGCCCGGCTATTGTTTTGTTGTAGTTGTTTAGCTGGCCTGGGCTGGGTTCGAACCTGCCACCCTTGGTGTATGTGGCTGGCACCATAACCACTGTGCTATGGCCATGAAGCCAAAAGAATATAAAATTTTTAAAGATATTTGATAATGTTGCCAAATTCTTTTTCATAAGGGTTGGTCCAACTTCTATAGTCTCTGATAGTATATAGCGAGTACTTTAGTTTTCTGTACTCTCATGCAGCTGGCTATTGTTTAAAAAAAAAAAAAATTTAAATAGGCCAAGCATGGTGGCTCATGCCTGTAATCCTAACACTCTGAGAGGCTAAGGCAGGTGGATTGCTTGAACTCAGGAGTTCAAGACCAGCCTGAGCAAGAGCAAGAGCAAGACCCTGTCTCTATTAAAAATAGAAAACCTAGTTGTGCACTGTGGTGGGCGCCTGTAGTCCCAGCTATTTGGGAGACTCAGGCAAGAGAATCTCTAGAACCTAAGAGTTTGAGGTTGCTGTGAGCTGTGACACCATGGCACTCTACCAGGGGCAAGAAAGTGAGACTCTGCCTCAAGCAAAACAAAACAAACAACAGCAACAACAAAAAAACACTTTTAAATATTTATTTTTATCCTTGAAAGTTTTTTTTTTTTTTTTT